ACATTTATCTCGGCCGCCTTTTTCACATACCAAACGAATGCACGTCTAGCAATCTGGAAAATAGAAATAGAAACAATTTAAAGATTAAGAAAAAAAATGTATTATGTATGCAAAATGATTGCTTCGAAACAAGCGGCCATAGATAAAAATGGTGGGTTTCAATTCAAATCGAATAAAAAAGCGCTGCCAAAAGAAGGATAAAATATCTCTAAGCCGTTTTTTGTGTGTGGGTGTGTGAGTGAGTGTGTAGTGAAGAGTGGGAAAAAACGTAAACAATCAAAATGGAATGGTAAATAATTTTAATATTCAATTTATGGCATTTTGATAGAGTCACATACACGTGCTCCTGAGCTGAATTTATTCGAGCACCAGCAGGCTTGGTATCTATGCATCTCCCACTTTCAGCTATCTCCGTGATGGAACGAACATCACAATCCCCCAATAATATAATGGGAAATGGAAATTCGAATGTGGCATTCGGTTACAGATTATTTTTAATGTCCTCACGACGGGCCAAAAAATGAAATGCGAGAAATTCGTTCACTTAAATTTCGATGTGCCGTGTTCCGTTTGTAAAATTGCAATTGTAATGTCGCCGCAGGTAAATGTGGACACCACGTTTGCCATCGCAAACAGAACATAAATTTCAATTCTTTTAGTAATTCATCACATCGTGTCACATAATCAACGCGTTGCTAGACGGAATAAACGCATTTAAAAGAAAAATATTATCAAAAGAAATCGCCGGCGTCAAATGAGGTAAATAAGAGAGAGAATGTAAAAGGAGGACGAGTGTGAGTGTAGCAAAAACGGCACAATGAAACCCATTTTAAATAGCAAAACCGAAATCCAAGCGACACACAAGGCATCATGCCTGCGTGAAGAAATGGAACAGAAAACCAGCACCACCACCACCAGTAGAAACAGCAGCAACAGAAAAAAAATGTTTAACAAGAAGAAAAATATTGCCAGCTTCAACTTAATTTAGCGTGTATAGAGCGAACGCCAAGAAAATTGCTTACAAAATGTACAGCTTAAAAATCCATAAATTACCTGAGCTGAAAGTGTAAAATGGGCAGGCAACGGAAAAAAATATACGAGCAACGACGATGACGACGAAAAAAGAACACAGTCAGAGTGCAGAAAAACAGTGGGACAGAGTGAAAGAGAGAGCGATAGAGAAAAGGAGAAGGAGAAATAGAGAAATGAGACGAAATGGCAATGCCGATGAATGTGGAGCAAAAGCAGAAAAACCATGCAAGATTTATACTTAGATATTTATAAGTAGTCAAAACGAGTAAAGTGGTGGCGTGTTGAGCGACGATGGTGCTGCACCAAATCGCCAGATGAGTAAGTAAGACTAAAAACGGCATGTGGCAGTGAAAACCCCAGCCAGCACTCGAGATAGAAAAAGAACGAGATAAGGATGAATAAAAGACAGGCATACCGAATGGGGCACATACGAAACGGAAAAAAAAATTGCATACAAATCCGAATGAAGAATTGCAAATTTAAGCAATTTTTCTGATTTTCTTTCTGCTCTCTTTTTTCGCTGCTCATTTATTCGTTTTGACTTGTTATTACCAGACGTCATTGTTTCTGTTGCGCTGTGTTGCAACATCATCAGCAGCAGCAGCAGTAGTGCTAGTAACAGCAGCTTTAAAACCAGATCTCTCAATAAATTACACTCGAATGGCGACAGCTGTTTTTCGAACTATTAAGAACTGCTAACAATATCTCTGAATGCGCTCCAAACAGTTCGGCATTCAAGCTGAGCCGAGTCGTGACTTGTGAGAAAGCACACAAAGACCGCGTGGATTCAACAACACTAATTTTCTAGTCGACAAGTAGAATACGAAGAAACTGTCACGTCACAGCCTGACAAGAAAGGGGAGGGAAAATCATCATCATTTTTAAATTTAAATTTCGTTTTTTTTTTTCCACCATTCATCCTTATAAATTTAAGCTCATTTGTTTGGTGTTTCTGTTCCCTTTTGTGTTATCTAACTACTTCACCCATATTCACACAAAAGCATTCGCTTCAGGCGCACACTTTTTTCCTTCTCTACAAACTAAATACACCTCATTATAACACGAACTTTTCGTCATTCAGAAAGTTATATAAAAGAGAAGAAAGATCATGGATATTGCGTTAACAAAGGCTTTGATTCTATGGCAATTGTGTTTATTCTTCGGACAAATTTTCGCTACAATGGCATCAAAATCTACGCCATTGGATACTCAACTAAATTACTAAATTGTCTGGTATACGACGCACTTTAGCCCAAGAATTTCCTCCGAATCTGCAAACAAAGTCAAATATGATCGTAAAAATTCCTCCTTATAATTTCGTCGCTCCCATCACGATGCTTTTCCTCTCCTCATTTGGCGCACGAATAGAATTTATTTACTTTTAATTGGCCTTTTTCGTAAGCACACGAACGGATAAATTGGTTTTTTATTTTGTGCTCGACGCAGCATGGCAGCGCAAGGCTTTCCCCTTTCGCGCCGTTCCAGTTGAAGTGCCAGTTAAAAATAAAATCAGACAATGTTAAAATATGCAGCTGTGCGCGTTAGCCTGAAAATGCACTCACCAAACGCGAAAGGAAATCATTTGAATAAATGAATGAGTGAGAAAGGGAAAAAAAGCACGAAGCGTATGGGATGAAGATTTCACACAATTTCACCCAGAAAAACCGTGTGCAAAAAAGCGGAAGGCACTTTTTTCGTTTGCCGGCCAATGGTGCTGATGCTGCTGTTCATTGTGTCGAAGCATTTCATCTAAAAATACGGCAATCGTAGAATAATCGTCTGGCACTTGACTTGTTTACTTGCGCCAAACCATATTTGCCATTGTTTTTAACTCAGTTTTTGGGATAATGCGATATTTTTCTTTCCGTCAAAGAATTTTTTTCGGCATATTTTTCGAGCGTGAATCTAATCCGATGAATGATTGTGATTTTGGAGCAGCCAGTGCATTGCAAATACTTTTATGATTAGTTTTCAGGGCAGATAAACCATGTGCAACATATTTCACTTGAAAAGTATTTCGTTCATTGCTACCATCATCAGCATGAAAAAAAGCTTGAAAGCAATTTTGGCAAACGTATCGCTTGTGTTTTCCCCATTTTTCTACGATTTTTTCCTCAAATGTATGTGCCCTAATTGGCACTTTGCTTGGCTGGGCAATGAACAGGCCGAACTGAATAAAGGAACGTAGATGTAAGACCGTAATGAGTGGGTATGAAATCTATAATATACAGAGAAGCGGTCATTTCACACCAGTGAAAGTATACACGGCAATGCTACAATGGCAACGCTAAAGGCGAACAACGAAAATCGCCCATCCAAGTCAAAGCAAACAACAAAATTCATTCATTCGTAAATGGAAGTAATTTTTATAAAGGATATCATATTAGTTTGATTCAAATGGCTAGATAAAGTAGAATTGATAACGGGCGCATGGTGTCCATATGTCATTCTCAACTATCATAAGCAATTTCACCATTTTCACAATTTACGCTGACAACCAACGAAAATTTAATTTATGTCATGTCAGCACGAGTTTTGCTCTTCTTCCAACCAATGTATTGTGACATTCGAAACCATTGCCAAACACATAGACACACACACGCACGCTTACTCATGGAGAGTGGTTTTCCAACCGCAAATACGAGAAAGAATTAGGCTGGAAAGATGAAGATGATCATTACGGAGGGTGAAATCAGAGAGTGCGTTCGGCTTTGACAATGAATTTTGATTTGGATGGCAGTTACAAGATTTGCCGTTTGAAGATAATTGACACGTGAAATCCGTTCTGAAACTTTAAAAGACGTTTCTTCGTATTATACTTTGAGAGAGAAGTCATCCTATTGGGAAACGCACGCGAAGCATGAAGTAAATTTGATCTGACCATTTCATGTGAACCAATTTTCCTGGCTCCGATTTCGTTCACTGGTCAGAAGAGGAAAATGCGGCTTATATAAGCGGTAAATATGTGACGCTATGTATACGGATTTAAAGCAATTTAGGTGTAATTAGCTTTACTCAATCAATATTCGGCCACTTTGGAATTTACGATATTAGTGTGAACGTGACTATAACCTAACGAAGTAACTCAATTCTGAACCGTTAGAAGCGAAAGTGGATTGATTCTTGGCGGTAATTAATTTGATTCCCATATAGAGATAGCAAGATTGCCGGGAATCATGCCCAGTGTAGCGGGATTATTCCGTGACTTTGGCTCATTTCCGTTTCATCAAATCTAAAAATAGCAACAGACTGAACTTGAACAGGATTTTGGGTGAAACTTTTTATGCATAAAAAAACGGCGTCATTCCTTGTTGTTTCGTGTGTTTTCTTTATTATTATTTTCATCGTTCGCTTGGCTTAATTAGAGCGATTATTCCAAAAGCAATTGAAAACTTTTTCCTAATGAATGCATAATTGACACTAAAGCAAATTCTGTTCCTAAGCTTATGCGATTAAGTTTCGGCACGGCTAATTTTCATAATTCGTGTTTACATGCGCTGCTTTGTGTCTGATGACACACAATAAATAACTTGGACTCATTAACAATTAACATAATTTTTTTTGTTCATTTTACTTTCTACTCGATGAGATTCTCGAGTCGACACTATATTTAAAAACACACATGGACACAGACACAAAATCGTATTAATAAATTATCTCGCCGGAAAAAGTAGTTTGATACAAAATATGATCCTTTTACAAAGTACTTAGCTATTCTAATCAATTTGACATTTCTCATTTCTTCCATTCGCTTTTACATTAACTGAGTGTGTGCGTTTTGCTTGTTTGTTCTAAAAGCATATATTTATGAAAATAGCCACATTACTACATAGAATATTAAATAAATTACGTTCCTATGTTTAGAATAAAACATTACAATATCGTGTTCAAAATAGCAAATAATAATTGATTTCAATTGGATTGTGTGTTGATTCGCTGCAACGTCGACTGAATGACTGTTTTTTCCCTCTCTCTCTCTCTCTCTCTCTCTCTCTCTCTCTCTCTTTCTCTTCTTGTGTTCACCAACACCACCGTGGTGTGTTGCTGGCGGCATTATCGTTGTCGGGTGGTCGTTCACAACTTTTCTCCGCTTAGACTCAGCATATTGTAGTAATTGTGATCGGGGAAGTGCTCCAATTGAATGTAATCCATTTCGGTGAGCAATAATTTATCGAGCAATTTCACTAGTTCAGAGAATGACGGTCGATCCTGTGGATCCTTTGCCCAACAATAGTACATAATGTTGTACAGTTCACGACGACAATGTTCTGGTTTTTCCAGTCGATAACCATCACGTACCTGCGCAAAACGAAAGAGTGAACAGAAACAATATGAGAACATAAGAACAATAAATACCAATAAAACATTTTATTGCATGAAAAGTTTTGCCTCGACCAAATCGATTCGAATCGAGTCGAGTCGATGGCATACACTCAATGGCTATTATTAGCTAACTTAAACTATAATGAAATGGTTAACTTTAACTGGATCTATAATTTTACCGCACGCTCGAAGCAAACGGAATTGAAACTTGACGACATCGGCAACAATACGAATAAAAAGAAATCATCGAATCGATATTGGCTCAATGCAATTCTCTGAATGAGCGGAAAAGAGCGGATGCCCTGAAATTCATATCGCAACCGGAAGAAAAAATATGAACGAAAAAGCAATAGACAATGATTTCCTTAAATGATAATGTTTATCAGATTGCAACAGTTGCATTTTAATGCAATCTGTTAAATTCATTGAGCCTTTGAATATATAAAAGTTTCTTTTCGACTTTTGATCATCGGATGGCAGCAAGACTGCCCTCAATTTCAATAGGCAAATCAATGTAATTTCGAAATTTTTTTCCGAACTAAACAAGCGCGACAATTTGAATTTTCTTGATGCTGCCTATGCTTTTAATATGCAACGAAATTGTTGTTCCCTCAATCGGATTCGTCAAAAGATAAGAAAAAAAAACTTAAACTGTAATGAATTTGAGAATACGATTTAAAATTCCATAAGCTTCAGCATTTATTGGCGCAAAAAGTTACAACGATTCAATAAAAAACAACTTGACAATATAAATCTGAAATTGTCATTTCGCAAGAAGACGAAGAATTTTTGCATTGAAAGCGGATTGAATAACAAATGCAATGCATGTTTTTTCCGACGAAGTTATGAACACAAACGGAAGGAAAAACCGAAGAATGGGCGAGAAAAGTCAGCGCTGGATTTCAATTCGAAATAATTTATATTCAATCAAAACGAAACGCGCTGCCAAAGCCAATGAAGAAAAAAAAACGGTTGAACATCATCAATGACATGCACGAAATAAATCGCATGTTTTACTTGAGCATGACGAGAAAATAGTGTGTCGTCTTTCTCTCTCTCCCTCTCCCTCTTCCTCTCCCTCTCCCTCTCCCTCTCCCTCTCCCTCTCCCTCTCCCTCTCCCTCTTTTTCTGTCATCCACCTATTCGGATTTTTTTACTAAACGATGAAGAACGTTTTAAAATTCAAAAAATGACGTATAATTTACGATGTCGTCGATGGTTGAAAAAAAAATCCGATTGACTCAATTGGAAAACGGTACGGGAATAAGTTTAAGGAGACGAAGAAAACATTCTTGGAACATGAACACACTATGCAGAGAAAGAGAGAGAAAGAAAGCTCAACGACGAATGAGGGAAATGTAAAAAAAGTGCAAATCGTCGATCGCACATTATAACGTAAAAACATTTCGAATTCCGGGGGATACGGCGAAAAATCGTATCAAATAGATTTTCCCATCAATTTATTCACATTTTCAGCATATATTTGTCGCAGCTGATGAAACCAAAACAATATTGGCTGATGCTATGTGTGACTGTGTGTGTCATGCCAAATGCTTCGCGCGTTCTTTTTCCTTGATGTTCAAGGCGCTTCAGCACTTTTTTCTCGCTCGTTCGATGAAGAAGTTTTGTTCATCAATATCATATTTCGGAGTCATCTGCTTACAGCTCAATAAAATATGCAAATTTAAAGCAGCTTCAGATAGCAAAATAGTTGTAACGATAAAAATAGCAGGAAAAAAGGAACCTGGCACAGTTTTGCCAATGCAAATAAATTGAAAAGTGGCGGCTGTTCTTTTTTTCCCCGTTCTACTCGGTTCTATTCCAATAACATTGTAGAAAGTTTCATGTGTTTGTGCGCGCCGTGCACAATTGCTTACCTTTCGCATGACTTCTGCTGCAGCTGTGCCGGGATACGGGGTTGAACCTAGAGTGACAATCTCCCACATCAGAATACCAAAACTCCAAATATCTGACTTGACGGAGAAAATATTATCATAAAGCGACTCGATTGCCATCCACCTGCGAGCGAGAAAAAAGAAAGGAAGAAACGAGAAAAAAGGACAGTTGAGAAAAATGAAACCGTTTTATGACTAGGCATAGAGTTACACAATTTCAAATAGTTATGTCAAGTGAACAACGACAAAATGAGCAGATATGAGATAATAAAGCGAAAGAACAAGCACCACGCTGCACAAGAGCACAAAGACACATTAGACGAGGAAATCCAATCCACGTTAGCCCGTTCACTCGCTAAAAACTCACTTGCTTTTTGAACGTTGGAGTAACTGTGTGCAACCGGAGTCAAAGCAATTGGAAACTTGTGCTTTCGCCGTAACGTGTCAACGTTATGGCATGTTACCGAGAAGAAAACTCACACACAAACAGAAATTTATTCTAATAAAATAACGACGATGTTCGCAGTGAATTGAAGCAATTTTTCTGCTGCTTGGCTGACGAGTATGTTTGTGTGTGAGACAGAGAGCTGTGAGTGACTGTTCTGTTTCATTCGGGCCGTATTTTTATTCTGTGCGGGTGTTTGTCGCCATTCTTCCACACCAACAATAAATATCGTTCGCAAAAACACAAAGCAAGCCAAGTGAGTGAATAAGTGTCTTGCATCAAATATGAACGCTGTCATATCAGATGCCACAGTCTTTGTACACACAAAACACACACACAGTCATCGACTCACTTAAAAGACTGTTTAAATCCAGAGCACGAACCATTTTATTAGAAATGGTTTATTTTTACGTAGGCCAAACAAAATATCCGAATGTGTTGCTTAGATGCTGCTGTTGCCGTTCACTTGGAGAATCTGTTGATTTTAATCTGACTGTGTGTTTGTGTGTGTGTTTGTGCATCGTTGACAAAGTCTTTCCCAAGAAAGGAATTTCCAAAAGTTTTTTTCGTCGTTGTCATCGTCTATCTCATATTCTCTCTCGATCTCGAGCAGCGAACGCATCTCATCTCCGTTGTTATTACAACGTTTTGCGAGCGGTTTTCCATTTCAGTCATTGTGCTGTGTTATACCCGTTTTTATGGGCGAAAACATTGAATCAGCCCTTTACCACATTCTCATGGCAGAATTTAGATAAGCTCGTTCAGGAAAATCATCACAACTCACTCGCTCGTTCGCTCGTTCGCATTCACCCGTATTATTGTGCTCATTGTTCGATGTTTGCGTATGCACACAGTACGAAAATATATGTATGTATGAAACTGTTGCAAATAAAAGCGGAAAATCAACGGCAATGTTTATATTTTGATATGATAAAGCGAGAGCGGGCGGATTGCATTCAGCAGAAATGTCAAATGGCAGACACACAGGCAGAGAGAGAGAGAGAGAGAGAGAGAGTGAGAGAGAAAGAGCAGCGACAGAGACACAAAAAGTGTGTATTACATTTGTGATTACAGTTGCCATATACATTTGTAGAAAATGGTTTTGTGCCTGTGTGCCGTTTGTTACATCTCGATGTACGAATCAGGTCGATAAAGCCATTTGCGCTGCTGCCACCAGCCGACGGCTACACAAATACATTTGTGAACCTGCACGACGAAACCTTTTAAATCGCCTAAAATACCTGCAGGCACAAATATTTTTTGCGTGATGCTGACGTTTCACGTTTATATTCAGTGCGGATTTTTTTTACATATTTTGTGCTTATTTGCTGATTTCCATTGCAGGCGCGAGTGTGTATGTGTGTATTTTTCGCTTTGAATCTTCTTCTTTTATTCATATATCGATGAACGCTGTTATTCATCATTTCGTCACATATGAAATGCGAAAAGACGGAAAATGGTCGAATTATGTGGAAAACGTTGTGTTCATTCAGCATTCGGATATGCGAAAGACATGAATACCGTATCTGGTGCTGAATCGTCGGTTGTTCGGTCGACAAATCAAAACTGACATTAACTCACCTTATCGGTAATTTGCCTTCGCTTTTACGCTCATAGATTTTCGACGTAATCACATCACGTGCAAAACCAAAATCAGCTATTTTACATGTATGATCATCAGTTATCAATACATTGCGAGCGGCCAAATCACGATGAATTATCTGTTGACAAATGAAATCAGGGCAAATTGTTAATGAAATATTCGATAAATTATTATTCACCAAAACAAACTTGGAAGTTTTGTTCAAACTCCATCGAAAAGAAAATATGCAAAAATTTATCTGTCAAAATACTTGATTAAAAACGTTACACAAACTTCCCGCAATTACCATCAACAACGAAAAATCACGAAAATTGCTGTTGAAGTATCTTCACGAAAATCCAATTGTTTTTAATTAATTCAATAAAGTAAACGGATTTTTGTGAGATGCTCAAACCATTTTCTTTTTGGGCTCTTCCGGCATTGGACGTTGATAGGAGATAATGAAAGTATTCGAGTGTATCTAATAAGTTTACTTACGCCTCGTGATGATAAGTAATCCATGCCTCTCGCCACTTGGTACATGAACGATGTTAGATCACCTGATGTTAAAATATTTGATTTTCCATGTGTATTACCGTAATGCCTGTCGAAAAAAGTTAGAGGAACAGAGAGGGAAAGAGAACGAGTATGTAAAAGTTGAGTGAAGCACGAAAATGAAATTTAAGCGTAAATTTTACAACAACGAACAAAAGCAAAAAATCAATTAGAGCGAACGAAAGTTAGTCAGAAATGGCTCGTGTAATACGCTCGTTACAGCATGTTGTACGTGTCAAGATGGAGAAAGGGAGGAGGAGAGAGAGCATAAAGTACAAGCAGTGAGCTTCTGCTTCTCTGCCATGCTTGTCATGTATTATAAGTCGCATTTTAATATGTTCAAGTCAGTGGAATTATCACATGTGTGAGTGAACGAGTGAATGCGACTTGTACGACACAGTATTACCATATTTTCGAGGGAAGTTATTTGTTATGCATTCAACAATCACGGATGAAAAGTCATCAAAGGCTTTTGACTGGAAATTTAACCAAACATTTTGCTACCAGATCTTATTTCAATCAGCTTCAAGTCGGTGCTTGTTCAGTGTTGATTCAATTTTCATGCGACTGCAGATGAAACAAGCGAAAAAGCCGAAGAAGAAGACGACAAGCAAGAAGAAGAAAGTCAATGCATTTCTTACGAAGGCATTTTCGTCTGCATAATTCTATATAGCACACAAAGAAAACATCATTTTATCGACGTTCGTTATTATGTTGAGTGTAGTTTTTGCTAGCGTGCTGCATGGAAACTTTTCATACAATATTCACGGTTTTATGAAGAAAGAGCATTTTCGTTAAACATTGAACAATTTCGGAATTAATGATTGCCAAGTGCAGAGGACACTACACGAACACGAAACCAATCAACAGCAACCCCCCAGTATTTGTACTGAGCTGCGCTAGAGTGGCACAGAAATGAGAATTCATGAAAGTTCAAATGTTCTTCGGATGCCTAACATCGACGATTTTGTACCGGAAGATTTATGCCAACTGGAGTAACATTTGAAGTTTTAAATTCGCAAAGTTTGCCAATGTGTTCGGCGGCGGCTTGTTGTTTGACAGCGCGAATTTAATAAACAAAAACGAAACAATTTGTGTTTCGTTGACGAATGGGCTTACGAGTCACCCTAATGCATGAGCAATTAGCGGCAAAGTGGCAATTTAGCTCACTCAAGCGAAATATAGAGATGGCGTGTTCGACGTTCATTTGAGCGCTATGAATTGTTGTACATTATTGTAACATCCTCTCTGTGAGTAGCGTCTCATTCTATTTCTGGGTCTTTTTTCTAATTTTTTTTATTGTCGCATACACAACAATGAATGTGTGCGTGTGTTGCCCAGCAATTAAGTGTGAGCTCAAGAGACAGCAAAAAATATTGCAATTATTTTTTTCTTCTTCTCTTCAGATGCTTTGATGCATTAATAATAAACGGATATTGAATTAAGCGCCTATGAGAATTGTTGCTTTATCGCTTTTAATTGATTCGAAGGGGAAGAACATTTCTATTCAAGCTCTTCTAGTGTTTTGGATCAAGTTAACGAATTGAGCCCACGTTTTGGATTAATGATTTAATATTTGGTGGACGAACTGTGTCGCCTGCCAAAAACACTTGCTGAATTGGATTTGAGGTTCATTTGTCTTTGTTTCTGTCGCTGTTGTATTCCAATCCAAATATGTGCTCGGTTGTTAAAGCCGAGACTGTCTTAAGACATGTTCCGCACTCACGCTGTAAAATGGTTGAGAAGCCGCGCGCGTGCTGCATCGTCACCATTGTGAGATGAATTAAGTAGAACGCGATGGTAGAAAGAAATACAAACACAAACACATACATGCAGAGACAGAAAGAAAGAATAATGTGCAAATCTTCGGGTGCGGTATTTCAAGAGTACCGCTCGAAATGTAGTGCGTTTTGTGTGCATGCGACACAATGCCACAATGATTTTAATTAAACATTGAGTAAATAGTGCTAAGGCAAGGCAACGTCTCCAGCAACCATTAAATCGGAACAGTTGGAACGACGACGACGACGGCAGTAACACAGAATAATAATAGCAAACAAAGCAGACAGTAATTATAACCTAAAAGCTTTTCGCTTATTTTCCATGCCATGTTTTTATGCGGAGCCCGGGTGCGCCGCACGCGAATGGAGTAGGGCAGAGATTGTCGCCTTTAGTGTGCAAATACACAGAGAGAAAGCGATTCCGATCTCAATCCCTTTATTGCCAGTCCATATGTGCGTGGCTGTCTATGCCACTCTTATGAACATTTCTATATATGCAAACCGGTTGCTATTCACTTTGGCTCCAATAAAATGTCTTCGGCATCCTTTTCACAACCAAATTCAATTTGCTGTGGTTAAAATGAGATAGGCTAGATTGCAATTCTCTCTCTCTCTCTCTCTCTCTATCTCTCTCTCTCTGTGTGTGTGTGCGAGTGAGTGTGCCACCACTTTGTGTATATTAATGCGAAATGCTTCTCTTATTTGAGATCAACTAGAGAGAAGCAAAGAGATCGAGAGGAAAAGGACTGAAACACGCACAAAACATCCCATGATTCTGGCGGCAATAGCAATGGCAAAATGGTATTAAATGCAAGCATACAATGCAAAATATTACAAAATTCGAACGAATACACACAACGCATGCTCGTAGCATAGAATTGGCATTGCACGAACGAACGAGGCAAAGCAAGAGAATGTAGAATGGCAAAGTAATGAATGAAATTTTATGAAATTGCGAGTACCAAACGCACAAAGTAATTAGAACGTTGCGCCGCGTCGAAAATTCATTTCAGTGATTCAATCGTTAACTAATAATAAGTAGCGCACAAAATGTTCGATGTGAAAATGCAAAGCCATGCCATGAGCTACGGGCGGAGCCAGTATATATGTCGATTCCATATCCTCAGCATGTTTTCTACATCAACAGCACAGCCAAGGCATAGCCTTGTATGCTCGCATATTCGGGGTTCCGTTTGCATTTCTCAATTGCACATTTCGGTGTTTTCAAAGGCAGAGAAATTGCCCTAGCATACAATTTCGCAAATGTTGGATACCATTAGAACCGATATTAATTTTCAATGTTGTCGTCCGACACTTCCGGGTAATGGTAACAGTGGCCTGTTTTTTTTTATTCAATTCGATATTGGTGTTTTGATTGCTTGTGTTCTTAATTATAAATTATATTGAGTTTGGTATTCGAAAATGATCCAAACAGCAAACCAACATTTGGCTCATTTCCGATGTGGATCTCCCCTTTTCGCTCCATACCATCCAACTGAATTCGAAGAATTTTACGGTTCCATTTCCATCCATGCAATAAATGGAGCACAGCAACAAAAAAAAGTGGTCAACAGAATTATGGCAAAGCTTTTAAGGGTCTTATGTAATTCTGATTCGGTTCAAAATTACAAATTCTAATAACATTCATGATCAAATGCACTACCTCTTATTCAACACAGCACAGCAGCGATAACAACAAAAATAATTGCTTGTGATGCTCATGCTGTTAATAAGTAATTCGAATTATTTTATCCCTTTTTTCTGTTCGGTTTGGAATAGAGATTATGTTTTTTTTTGCTCTCTCGCTCGCTGCAACTCAGAAGCTATGGGGTTTCCGGAAAGAAAACCGAACAGGAGGACAGGAGAATGCGTATTTTCGGAAATTCACACAAAGATATCGCTTTTAGTGACTCGCTGTGGCTGGTGGCCGTTCTCACACTTCTCAAAATACGCGGTCGATGTTGCCTTGTTTTTCCCTCGCTTCGCCTGTCGTCTAGATTAACATTAATTATTATATTGTTCTTGTTGTTGTGCGAGCATTGGAACGGGGGCGATAGCGTCACAACAGTTTCGCACTTTGTGCGGATTTTTTTTCGGGGGAAAATTAAAGTGTACAATCTTTTTTTATATCGTTATGGTTTTATTTTTCATACATTTTCTCCTCTTTTTCGCTCGTCGTCTCTCTCTCTCTTGCTCTCTGGTCCGGGCAACCGTTAGTAATTTTCGTCTTCAGCAGAATTTTCTTTGAGGTTGATATAAATTGGAATGTGACTAGCGGTGCGCAAATATTTCCAAAGAGAGCACATTTTTTTATTTTGGTCGTCTGTTATGATTTAAAAGGAACCCTTGGCATACACAGGATACACAGCAAAATGAAGAAAAAACTGCTGGGTGGACGGAAGTGAATCGAACGAGAAAGTTCGGCGAATTGAAAAAAAAAACACAAAATAAAAAAATGCGATAAAAAGAGATGTAGAATGAGAGAATGGGACGTAGGCTGTGTGAATCTTTCAGCAGTGCTTATCATCGCTTTGAATCGGGTTGAAAAGTACAAAGGAGGGAAGTGGAAGATGAGAGAAAAATTAACGAGATATTTATTAGAACGGAAAATTATCCTACACTTTTGTTAGCGATCTGCGCACAGACGAAAAGTACCCCATCCGCGCGCGCAAGTTCATACACACTCACACAAAATGTTATGTTTTATGCTTGGGAAAGGCTCTCGGAATTAAGATTCTTTTTGTCGTCGTTGCTGCTGCTGCTGTTGCTCTTTTCCCGTCTTTGTACCCGATTTTCTGTTTTATTTGCTGTACAATAACATGCGAACGTATCTTTTACTGTGATCAATGTAATCATTTTATGCTATTAGACGTCTTTGTACTTCGCATATCCATTCGACGAACAAACGCTCGCCATCACCACCGTCACTGATTTCGCTTTAAAGTTCAGCTTCACCACTTGGGTATAAAAAATAAAAAAAATAAACGAAACAGAAACGGACACAAAAAAAGAGACGACAACGACGACACAAGAACCTGAAATTCATTTTATCCAATGGATAAAACGACAAAGTCAGTTATGCTATACTGGCAATAACGATAATAATGATGGTGAACTTGGGCGAGTGAACGAAGTGTACTCTCCCTTCCTCCCGTGTGTTATTCGTTCAGCGCACATTAATAGTTCCACCATTCGATACACTCTAATTCGACCATGAGTATAACAGACACACAGATCTTTTCTTTAATATTCAATGTAGTTCTATTAATCTGTTGTGTCACCGAGAGATAACGGCCACGATAAAAAAAAATAACCATTTTATACGGTGTCTTCCTGCCGGGCAGCGAAATGGGACTAACGAAAGAAAAGAAAAAACCTTCATTGGATCATCTTGAGCTTATACGCCGGCTCATTTTCGCTGATACGACACAAAGTAGATTGTCAATGAGATAAAACTTCATTTAAACTTCTACCAAATGAAAAGAGAAATATTATTTCAGATGCGAATCGCAAAATGGCACACAGCCACTGAACACAGAGTCAATTCGTACTGGGGCTATAACAAGAAAACAAATATTATCGCAATAATGAAAATAATTTTCCAATGAATTCGCATTTCGTAACTTCGAAAAATTGATTTTACTTTTGTAGAAACTTTTTGCATTGAATTATATCGACATTTATCGGAATTTAAATGTCTTTGGCGCAGATTGTACTTAAATTAACGATTGAACCGATAACGACCAAATTCGTTCTGCTAAACTGGATAACCGGAGAAAGAAAACTGCGCAAATTCTATTTTATGTACGTATACAATTCAAATGGCATGAGAATAAGAGCTCAAGCTTTAAATCGGAAACTTATTCAATTCGAATTTTTCGAAAACTTATCGGGCACTGTGCGTTACTTCTTGATATTTTGAGCTGCTGATTGATTTCACGAGCATGACAGAAAGAAAAACTTCTATACAATTACAAACTATCCGGATGTTTCGTTTCAAGTCGTCGCAATTGTAAAATCCATAGATTTTTTTAAATTCATTTTTGCAATTTCGTTCGCTATTCAAAATCAACGTTTTATACAACGTTTATTTGAGACCTGAAATTTGAAATACTTACCGTTCAGCTCGTGAATTCCGTAAATATGTTTGCAATTTGCCGCGATTCACGTATTCCAAAATCACGAAAATCGGCTCTTTTTCACTGCAACAGCCCAACAAACGGACAACATTGACATGTGGTTCCAAGGACTTCATTACCTATTTAGCAGAGAAATTGAAAATTGATTATTTCTTGTTTGAATGAATAAAAAAATCACTTGAAAGTTTATCTTTGTAGAGCATTTGGTAAACGACAACGACTACAATTCTCTACTGTTTTCGTTGACAGGTATTGTAATTAAGGAGTGCGTGATTGACAGTAGTACTGACGCTTCGAGGTAGAAATAATTCAACTGTATTTCGGTACGTATATCGTAAATTTTCAAACAAAAAATGTTCCCTGAACTTGCCTTTTACATAATTTATACGACGGTGATAATGGTTCTATAATTTTTTTAAAAACAAAAGTCAGCCTTTCGGGTCGATCCCTGTTTTGTATTTGCAATTTACATACATAGCCGATGTGTTATAGATAAAATGTTGTGTTCGCGACTGAATTTCGGTCGAGGTAGTTCAAAAGCAGCATGAAATACTTCAAATATTGACGCAACACGTCAAAATCTATTTTGAAACAGGCTACGCCACACGCCCAATTCACATTTTAGCTGTGTGATATGGATCAAATTCAAGTTTTGACGGTTTTAAAACACCACCGAACCGAGTTACAAACCCACAAAAAAAAACACACACACACATAGTTTGCCATCGAAGGATCCGTTGGAACATTCAACGCATTTTCCACTGTGAATGCTTTCCCAAAAGCAAAGTTAATAATTTCTCGTGAATAAGAAAGAACAACACCAACTCAAAATGTTGGCGAGGTGATGTTTATCCGCGCGTTCATCGTAAATAAAGCCGAAACTTTTACATTTCCCGCTTCCTCTTCTCGCTCTTGCTCGTTCGAGGAAAAGTTTTCACCAAATGGAAGAGAGATTCCGGAGAATGAAATTGAAGATACTTGGAAGCTTCCATAAATAAATGTATGTAAATTCTGGAAGTTTTCGAAGCTGAGGCCATTGAATTTAGTGCAACTCATGCCACAAGTGTAAAAAGGTAAACAAAAGTCAAAACTCCTTGACTGCCTTTCCCTCTCTGCACCGATAATAATCTCAATCTATATGTAATATACAATGACTTTGATCTACAAAGAGAATTATTTCTTTTGAGAACATCCTCAACTAGTAAACTAAAGCAAGGTAGAAAAAAACATACCGGGTACTTTTGGCTGGAGTACATCAAAATCACTCGCTATAATCAAAACTAACCTAGAATAGCCATTAAAAAGTTGATGAAGTTCACTTGTGCAGAAAGAAACAGAGAGCGAGCGAACGAGCTTTAACAACTTGAGTGAAAATTTAAATCTCGAAAATTCATTAGCACGATAAATAAACTAGCAAAAAGTTTGTAAATTGGCATATCATCATGTTTATACGAAGATCAAGCCATTCGAAAAACAATGCAAAATTTATACGATATCAAAATCTAATGGAGACTTTGGTATCAAATGTTCTTTGTTAAAATTAAAACTTAAGTTGTGCATTAAGCTCATGATGAGCTAATGGCTCTATTGGATTATGAGGGATGTAAACTGTTTGACAGAAAAATGGTAAATAGTGCACATGATGCCAAATCGGTTTATTTATTGTATCGTAAAAATATATTTGTCGATAAAAGCACGATAATAAAATTGCTATGCCTCGGTGCGTCCAATTGAAAGCCAAAACGGTTGATAATAACGAGTTTAATAACAAAGTTTATAAGCCAAATGGGAGAATCCTTAAAACCCAATTAAGAGTCTAGGGTCTAGACGGGGTGTATGGTGGTAGTCGTATTATGCTTTCGCTTCAATTAAGATAGTTTTGAGATGGTGGATGTGCCATTTCATCAAACTCTAAGTCAAACTCAGCTCAGCTAAACCATTGAACGTAGAGTAAAACTTTTACTCGAAATATTCGGGCCATATGCCGTTGCATAAAATCTGCGATCACAGCTCAAACATCAACGCTGAACACAACAGCAACAGCAGTTGCATGCTGTTAGTGTTGAAAGTTTTGCTTAAAAGCTGCATTATTTCTTAACTATTTGTGCAAAATCGACAAGGAAAATGGGATTTTTCCCCTTCAGAATGAAACCAAGAAAACACAAAGCGATTCAATCAAACGGAAACCGACAAAATCCAATGCACACCAAACCAATTTCGAAACCTATTATTCTTTCATGTGCAATGGTGCCCATCAGAAAGTGTTTTACCAGAACATAACGATATAAATAAGCTGACGTTCGACATATTTTTGGTCGCATCCGTTCGTTCGGCGTTTCAGATGAAACGGGCTGTTATAATATTTATTTCTTCTTTTGAGTTTGCTACATTAGCAAGTGTGTAATATCGCCGTGTGTGTATTTCACGTCTATTTGGCTTGAATCGATTGTTGGTTGCCGTTCACTGTTTTTCTTTCTTCAAATTCAATTTATTATTTGTGTTGCTTTCCTAAACGAAGTTTTCTTTCAATTTCACATGAAATGAGAGCGAATGAACGCTCACTTCCTCTCAAAAACATTAAAGGAATACCGACTATGAATGAATGCTGAAAATATTCCGTCGATAAATTGAAAAAGTCCGCCAAGTAACAAGAAATTGATGTAAAATTCAATATGTGCGAGCATTTTGCGGTTATTCATGTCTTTCTAAGTGCATCGCTAACATTTCCAATTTATTGATGGTTCGGCAAGTTTAACGGTGCGCTTGGGGAAAAAGTTCAATTGAAAAACTTGTGCTCAATGTAAATATTGCGCGCACATACACATACACAACATGTTAATGCGGCGGTTTGAAATTTTTCACCTGTATTCTGTTGCTTGTGTTTTTTTGTTGTTCGGGTCGCTTGTTTATTCGCATATCTTGATGTGTTTGACGGTTTTGCACGCTGTTTTGTAAGCACCACCATCATCACACACAATACCGCTTTAATCGAATGGCTGGCTGAGTTCAAAACGAAAAATTCTTTTAATGCAAAATTTCACATCAAACATTATTTTTATAGTCAAAGATTCGCAATGATTTCGATGCCATAGAACATTTTCAACACATCAGCAGTAGCACGTTGTGTGTGTGTGCGTACAAGAATATAGAAAACGTAAGCAATTCCATTCACGTAGCACAAATTCTCGCTCACTTTGGTTTCCATAGAGAGAAATAGTGAAGCAGAAGAGAGAGAAAAACCGGAGAACCAATTCCATAATTTGAAATATAATACAAAATGCAGCGATAAGCTGCATTTCATTGTTCGAGCATTTTGTTGCAAACTGCTAGCAAATGAAATCCACATTGAAATCGTATCGCTTGTGTGCGA